CAATACCAACCTTTGAACGAGCAGTTACATATTGTATTCGAGCTCAAGCTGAAACTGATTTCTTCCAAAATAAATTCTGAGGTGATTTATTTACTTACCTCAATCCAAGCCAAAATTCTTCTCCTTTCAAAATGACTGGACCTTTAAAGAAAACAACTCTCGAAAGTAGTGATGCCTCTAAATCTGTTGAAGAAAATCTTTCCTCTCTTCAAGGACTCTACCCCCCTGACAAAACCATAGTCGCTAACATCACCCCGAGTGGAAGAGATACTGGAAAAAGAACTTTAGGTTTTGATGAGTCATCTTTTAGCTCTTATGGAGGAATGGGAAAACCACCTAAATTAACCTTCGCAAAGTCTTCTGATGAAACTTCCGTAAAATCTTCTGATGAAGAAGCAGCGACTTCAGACTAAAAGGATACTGACTCTTTCCGTTCTTCTAAACATAGAACTAGTCGCTCACAGAAACAGAGTAAAAGGTCAAAAGGAAAAGGGGTTAATAAATGAAAGAACCGTCGCTCTCCCTCCTATTATGATAGCTCTTCATCTTTCTTGAACTCTTATTCTAAAGAAAGTGAATCCGAAGGTGATGACAAAGACCCTTTCGATGTTAACAATGCTAAGGACAATGATGAAAGAAACTTCTTTCAAATGATGAAAGGCCTTCAAACTGTCTTCAAAACAGTTGGATTTGGTAGGTCACGAGAAGCTAAGTTTGTAGACCTACCAACATTTAAGGGAGGAGACCAAGACCCTAGAGAATGGTTGGAAAGATATAATCATGCTGGAGATGCAAATGGAATTTCTGACAAGCGACGCCTTACATTAGTTCCTTCTTTTCTAAAAGGATCAGCTCTTACTTGGTATAATAAAACCAAGAATGAAAAAGATTTGTGATACTGGGATAACTCTTGCAATCGACAACATAAATACCGATCCTTCATTTATCATTTCTTGAAGCACTATTGCACAACCCATAAGAGAACTCAATGGCGTTCTGCACTTAGACGATGTAAGCAACGCCCTGGACAATCTGTAGAACATTATGCCGCGGATATTGAATCGTTATACCTCAAACTTGATCCAGATTATAACACTCCAGAAGATGAAAAAATTGAACAGTTCTTACAAGGACTTTGACCTGAATTTTTAACCGCAGTAGCTGCCGCTGCATCTCGCGATTTAGAAGAAGCAATCGACTGAGCTCAAGCTGTTGAAGCTGTCCTTTTTAAAGATAGCGTCTTATCAGGATATTCCCTCAGTAAAACCTATTTGAATCAACATGATGAGGAAATAGTGCGAGAAAAGGTTCCTAACATGCAACAATTGATTAAGGAAAATAATGAAAAACTGATAAAAGAAGTTAAACAATTATTAAATACTACTACCACCAGCCCACGAAATGATGGTCACAGTCACCCAGCACACCATAATGTCAATTGGAGAAATAGTAATAACAATAGTAATCAAGTATGTTATAATTGTAACCGACCTGGACACATTGCTAAAAACTGTAGAGTACGAAATAATCAAAGTGGTAGTCAAAATAATTTCCAACAAAATAGGAATAATACCTACCAGAATGAAAATAGGTGTTTTACTTGTAAGCGAAGAGGACACATGGCTAAAAATTGTAATACCATACCTACTGGACCCTGCCCATACTGTCATCAGCTTGGACATTGGGGAAATTTATGTCCAACAAAACTAACGCTAAATTTCCATAATAGTCAACCACAATCTGGTCAAACGAGCCAACGAGCTGTTCTATCACAGGGAATTCAATGTATAATACTCCAAATACTTTTTTACCACCTCCTTCTCCACAGCCTTCTATGACGTTTCCTTTTAATAATGCCTTTACCACTACTAGTAACTCTTCTAACCCATTGAATCAGTCTTTAAACTACTAAGGGTACCTCTCGAGGGTGAGAGTACCAGCCACTATTTAAATTCCTCAAATGAAATTGATGTACCTAAAGCTGTAGAGGCTGTATACTGTTATGCCTTTGTGGAGGGTAAACCTATTTATTTGATCCTAGATTCAGGATCTGCTGGAAGCGTCATGTCAAAAAGTTTCTTACAACAATTAAATAGAAAAATTGAAGGCCCCTCAATGATTACTATGATCAATATACAAGGAGGACGCTCACGACCATTGAGAAAAGTTACTAATATTCCAATCCAAATCAATGATGTAGAGATTTCCATTGATGTTGATATAACAGAGTCTAATGATTACTATATCGTAGCTGGAAACGACTGGTTAACAAAATGTCATGGACGACTTTATTGGGATTGTCAAAAATTTATTTTTCAATGGAATCAAAAAGAACATCAAGTTCCTATGTCGTGTTGGAAAAAACCTCAGTTTGATAAGTTTCAACAACCTACTCCACTTATCACAAGCTCAATAAACGACGAATATGAGGATGAAAATTTGACAACGCAATAGCATTACATGATATTAGGGGATAACGAAGAAGAACCTATCTTGACCATAAATAACTCTAAACAAGTAATAGTTCAAAAACAAACATATTCACCACAATATTTTGAGAATCTTAACCAAAAATTTAAATGTCAACCACCTGAGAATTCGAAATGGAAGTACCATTGGCAAGGCCTCAGAAGTAGATGTTGGTGTCATAAATAACTTGACCAAGCCGAAGACACCTGCCCTTTATGTCAGAAGGAATGAGACCATTGGCAGTTATTATAAAATATTCCTGAAGAAGAACCAGCCAAGATCAATTCATATGCCCATTTAGATCAAAACCAACAAAGGGACTTACAA